ACGATGCGAGATGCGAGCCAAACCCCACACTCAAAACTTTAAACATTGTGACCCATAATAACCATCACTTAATCAATGACATTACAAATTATATAAAAACACACTCTCATAACATATGTCATATTTCATATTGCGCCCAGCAGTACAAGAGCTTGATAAACGTGATCAACTGACTTGTAAACAACAGACTGACTGAGTTCGGACCAACACCGCTGTGAACAGTACTCCTGTACTCGAGCCTGACAGCTTGATGTAGGAGGGAGGCCTGAAGTGATGTAAGGCTCAGGCGTTTACCACTTCTTAGAAACAGAAACATAATCGGGGGGAATCGGGATAAGAATCCCCTGTCATAGGTTTCTGGCGTGCCCAAGGATGGTGAAAGTTTTGTTAATGGTCATTAAATATATCATGTGACCGGCACCAGACTTTCAGCAAATTAACTCGACGCGAAAAGGATATGTTGAGGCTTCTCACGCGAGTGAAGTCACATAATTTCTGAATCAACTTGTCTGGGTTTTATAATACGACGATGGCTTTTACTTTAACGATGACAAACCGTACGAAATCATACCTCACTAATCATCAGTACAAGTTTTGAGATGACATAGATTTTCATTGAAATAACCACCAGAGCTTTTACTATAAATTCTTAATTACACATTTCCTTCCAACGTTACATATGCCAAATACGCCTTGCGTTCAATATCTTAAAATCTTTAAACATTGCGACCTCAAAACGGATCTACTATTTGATTTTCTCATGCCAGCTACAATAACATGAGGTGCACAAATTCATTTTATCTATCGATATCTTTAACAATATTATTGTTGTGGCAGGGTTACACATTTGTTTGCCTCTAGTAATCTTTCCCCAGCCCTTAAAATGTGTGACCCATGCTGCTTATCTCTTGCTGCCACGTGGCCTGCATCGGAGGACCAGGCTCATTCACATTGGGTACTTCGTCATCGAATTGGCAGACTGTTCTAGGATGACTGCTCGAGGATAATTTAACTGTCTTCGGTTTCAGGATATTTTTAGACCTGAAACATATAAATATTGAATATGTTACAAGATATAGAGGTGAGGTGTTCAAGCGTAGCTGACATGACGAAGCCGAGCGAGCATCGCTTCAATAGGCTGCCTTCAGCTAATTCTTGCAGACAACATTACGTTCTGATGACCAGATACAATTAGTAACATCGTTTATTAAAGCATACGAGTGTACATATTGGTTTGTTTATCAAGCTTCCGTTTTGTTAAAGATGAGGTGTTATCGTGATTACATAGCAATTAAATTTCACAAAACGTAACATTTTAATATTAATCAGAGGATACATTTGTCTTATCTACATCCGATCACTATTGTTAAGGTATAACAATAATGGCAGTGTTACCATACACCCAATGAATTAGCACAGCCCTCTTAAAGGTCTTCTACAGAATGTAGTGGCAATGACATGCAACTGTATTCAAAGACGTAACAAGCTTTACATGCTGAGACTTTTTGAGTTTCTCGAAATAGCTTGCATCCATATATTTATGTCCCCAGCCAACAGCCTTAATGACATTTCTTTTGTATTTTGTGATGGAGCGAAGGAGGGGGCTAATGGTTTAAAAGTATGCATGTAATTACTGCGCAGCATCTCCAACAATTCTGAGTTGTTGTCACGCACGCTTACACATCCGCGTCCGTAGCAGTAAAGATAACGTCGACGAGTTAGGTGACGTTCAGGGAGCTGGGGCGATCAGATGGTATTGACGCGGAGATGTGATCGCAGCGTGAGTGACAGCGCTCTCGACACGATCTAGTAACCCTTCGTGCCACTACGTCGTCACCGTGAGAACTCTCCGTATGCTCATTCAACACGGCCATTGTTCTTATTTGTTATTTCAAGTGCTCATCAGGCTGTTTGTAGCGGATAATGACATCTTATAGTCGTATTTCAAGACGAAATATTGATTGGACAGGCCTTTACATAATTGATATTTACGGAGAATCAAAGAGGAACAAATATCTAGCTTTCTCTGACAGTTGTGAATTTTTCATAGTCCCATGTATTGAATTTAAGGACAGAAATAACCATCCTTGATCGATGATTCAACGGTATTGTGTAATGAAATACAGACTCAAGCAAAACACATTGACAACAGACATTACATCCTTCTAAAGGGTATGTACTCAGTATAGAAGAATATGTGCAGTTCATTACCCACTGTTTAACAACAGTGCTGACGTAAACAAAAGATCCAAAAGATCTCCTTTGAAGTTGCATGATATGTCAATGCCTGGAACATATGTACTTCCTGCAATAAATGCTTAAGCACAGGTCTTGTGTACAAACTTTTGATTTTTAGTCATGACATCCCTTGGGGCCGTTTATGACATGCATAGACTAAAGATTTGCATATGATATAAAAAAATATGATCACATTTTGAAAGTGATAATCTTGCACTGGACAGGAGCAGCTGGTACTCAGTACGCTCGTCAATACTAATGATAACATTCACGCCAAGTTGTTCTAATGGTTTGACCTCCTGGTATGGTCACTATTTGATAGTGATTCATAAAAGACATGATTATGTCACAGTCGGAATCGTAAAATGGACTCTAAAAAGGTTTGTTAGGGTTAAGGAAATGGTTTTATCGCTCTTAATACTCTAATAATATGTTTTTAAAATGGAGAAGATTGTTATCAGTTCTAACGGTTTTGAAACCATAAAATCGAAGTTAGTGTGCATATTCATAGAAGTGGTGACACAAAATGAATCCCCAAGAAGGGGCCATATTCGTGCTAATTGGGATGTTGACTTCTGGTCTTATCCTTAACATTTAGATAGATCTGATAAGTGTGGAAGACCTGCATACTGTTCATACTTTAGACTTCAGATGACATTTACCTACATTTTGGACACACTGTCATGACACTCTGAAGATAAAGATGTCTATCACCTTTGTAACATATGCTCATAATTCACGGAATACGTTTTTCTTTCCCTTTGACTTGTACGGGCTCTTATGGACCTAAAATCAAATGTTTGATTTATTCAACCTTGGGTCTCTTCTGAGATTTCAAAAACATCCTAAGTTGGCAAAGTGATGTTGATTCCATCTGACGTGAATATAAAGAAAGTGCTTTCTTGATTGTATCAATAAAGGGTGGCCTATGGTAAACACCTATATGCTGATAAATTACATTGATTTTAGCACGCAAGAATAAATCAACCAAAAATGCCCAGAAAAGGGGATGATCTCAAACAAACTGCATAAACGCGTTTAAATCGTAAATGTTGCTCTGAAAACCTACTCCATGTCATTCGTGGCGTGAGGGGGTCGAACAAGAAAACGTTTTGTTAGATTAAGTTGTTGACGCTTTCATACACATGTTCTCCGCGTTGACAGTTTCATTCTGTTAGTTGTAACACTCTGAGTTGTTGAGCTTATTACATTGCCTGTTTCAACATTAGCTTTGGACAATTCGACAGGGATCGAGAATTTTGCTGTAAAATATGATTTAAGGCCCGCAGTAAGAGTACGTCTATTAAGGTTAATTCATTTCATTTACGTCGTGTGGAATTTAGTCATATAGACTTACATATTCATTCTACAATAATTTTCGTAATATCGTCTTAGACTGTTGTACGGCTGCGTGCTTTGACAATCAATTCAGTTGTCATGGAAGCGTTTCATGTCATCCTCAATACTCTGACGTTCAAATAATTCCAGAATGACGTCATGCGAGGTTCACAGCTGTCTTAGCACACATATATGAAGTGGAGAATTACCAATAACGTTTCGTATTTATGATGCCGATAAACATTGTGTGTTTGCAGATTTATTTGTGTTATTGAGTATTCTATGCGGGGAAGGTTTACTCAGTAACATCAGCAAATATGAAAACACTTAATGCCTATCTTCCAAATGACTCCTTCCTTCTAAGAGCACACCGGTAATGCCCCCTCTCAACTTGTTCGAATATTGTTAACACAGGTAGAAGTAATGACTCGCATCTGCTTACTGTAAAGTATGTCGTCTTTGGTGTGTCACACAAGCAACCCATTGTACTAGTAATCGTTTGGCGTCCTTATGTGGAGATTTGTGGAAATGCTGACGAGTGAGTTTTCTGAAAAGCACATCCAGTGACTCTAGTTGCTGATGAATCATATAGAGATTCCTCAGATTAAGGGAGGCCCACTTAAATATGACATGAACCTCAATGGATGAAATCGGGACCGTCAAATAGGAGCGACGTGCAAGAGGAAAATGTAAATGGCTTGACGGTTTCTTTGAGTTACTAGCAATTCATTGAGCTTTTGGGGGTAATTTTGTATCCTTATTTAATGCAACAATTTAAACTCAGTGCCGAACAAGACTCGAACAACATATACAACACATAATGGATTCGTTTGCCATGAGTTTTATAGTAGGGAATATGTCCGTCTATGGTAGCCTTTTCTAGTTTATGATAAGTTGCGGCGTTGATATCATATTAAAACCTCTCAAGATCATGTTCATGGCATTTTACTATTTAACGATTGCAGATGATATGTATTTGTATCATTCGACAAAACAATACGATCAAAAGATTTATACCAACAACAGTTGTATTGTGTGGATTTTTCAATAGACACAAGAATAACATCCACAACACTGATTCACATATAGATTGTGTCATAACGTATGTATTGATCTATATTTAGTTGATGATATCTTCTTGATCACTGACGTTAACCGAGATATCTCCAACAGGCACAATTTGGTTATCAAGATTTATCTCTCCTGTGGCACGAAGATAATGTCTTTTTGTATGGGAATGTTAATCAAATCATACGCATACTGCTATAGACATACCAGGTTCAAGATCTATCAATGTTTCTGCATGATAACTATACATGTTCAATATGGTGGAAGGAAAGTTAACTGCAGATAACTGGAATTTACAATCCCTTGTTGCACCTGTCAAAGAAGTCTCAACATGTAAACATGTTTCATTGTTGTAGGTATTCCCGAGGGGGCGGGTTCGGCCCTGCTTCCAACCCGGATTCGTGGTCTGAAGTCTACCGTACTGAAAACTGATTCCTAGCATCCAGGGGAGGCAACCGCCGTGGGAATATTTGACAACTTCCAGCACCACCATATTTCAGACACGTGACGCCCAGGGGAGATGACTAACACCAGAAATTTGCCGCTACGTCTGTCCAATCATTAATCGAGTATTAGACAACATCATACACATACGCACACAGGACTATAAATGATCCATATAGTTATAATCTTTCATGACTTAAAACCATAGACTTATAGCATACAAAACGATGACTTCGTTATGAAATGATTTGTATTAGTTGTTATCAAATAGTTGCTCACTTTGGTACATTCCCGCTTGATCTATCCTGACCCCGCCTTGCCCGAGTTTTGAAGAGTGCAGAAACATGTTTGAAACGCAACTACTTTGTCAATAGCGTCAACAAATGTGTGTTTGAAGCACACACAATATCAAAGATTAAATTACACATTCAGATAATGGTTTCATTTGCATCAAAACATATTTGATGCAAGCATGCGAACCAGTCCGACACTTTCCCAGCATCATGTTATCCTGAAAACGCTATTGGTAAAGTACTCTCTCAGGAACAACTTTGAGAAATCTCATTTGGGCAGAGAAACCCGAGCGGGCACGTACCTTAGGAGACACGACTAATGTGTTTGTTGGTAATGTGAAATAAGATGACCCGAGTAAATCGTTTCCTGTAACCTGCTGCAATTTGAAGCCGACAACATCTACGCGTATTACGGCACCTGATCAAGTCATACTGATTATTTTGAATTAAAGTATCATGGACAGATATGCGAGTTTTTGTGTTTCAACTTTTACTGATACCAGCATTGCATTTGCGAAGGTCAACTTTGCCCTTTCTATCCTAAAGGTACACGCACTTGTTCAGTCCACTTGTGACTTGGAGCTAACAACTATTAACGCTTTGTGGTTAGCCTTTATATAAATTGTGGTTCTGTCCAACACTATAGCTGTCAGGACACTATCGGTTATATCATACGTGTGCCATGGAGTGAAAACACGTGCATAGTAGATATTAGTGAAAGCCATTAAAAAAGTAATTGGTATTTGTTGTCCTGGAGCTTACAAAGGTTCTATTGAAGATTGTTTTCATGCGATACAGAGGATGTAGGGATAAAAGGCTGTCATTCTGACCCATTTTGAGTACGAGTCCCCGAGCATTCCTCTCACATGAACTTCGATGCTTAAAACTGAACCTTTGACATTTCTCGTAAACACAACCACATTCATGAAACACGTTGTGCACGTGCATTACTTGCACCCAGGAATTGTGAAACTCAATCACTTTGAGAAAATGCCACGTTTGACACAAGACAAAAGGAATCAGTCTATCGGTATGGTCAGCCAAGATGCTTCAGATGTGATGATTGCCAGGCACTTAAATGTGCATCCATCCACTGTTGGTCGACTCAGACAACGTGTTCGGGCCACCGGAAGTGTTGCTGATCGTCCGCGACCTGGTGCACCACCTATGACGACAGCTCGACAGGACTGCACTATCCGAGTTTCACACACGCGAAATCAGTTCCAAACAGCTGCTGATACGGCAAGGGGGGGAAACTTGGACAAGACAACGTCATGACAGCTCCTAAACAGTGCGAAGACACCTTGCTGCCTTCAACATCCGGTGTCGTCGCCTCTACTGTGGTCCAACCTTATTGCATGGCCACAGACTTGCCAAACAGCGATGGGCACCTAATGGGGCCAATCTTGGCAACAAGCCTTGGCGAGATGTCATTTTTTTCAGATGAATCCAGGTTTAACGTATCCTTTGCAGATGGACGTCAACGGATTTATCGACGTCGAGGAGAAAGACTTGCGCCAAACTGTGTCCTTCAACATGGTCGTTTTGGAGGGGGTGGTGTCATGATCTGGTGTGCTATTAACGCCAAATTCCGATCCCAGATGGTAGTGGTTAACTGCAATCTGAAAGTTCAACGTTATGTGGACAATATCCTTCGTCACCAAGGCCAGTTGCTGAACTGACACAGGCCGTTCAACATCACTGGCAGACCATCCCACAGCTGTTCCTCAGAAAGTTGTGTCTTTCAATGCCCCGGAGACTGCGAACATGTCTTGCAGCGCACGGTGGACACACGCGTGACTGCAAGTGACCCCTCCTTTGTTTGATGTCGTTGTTGCGTCACTGATGTTGTTGTTGATTGGACATTTTCAGATGAAAGTATCCACAGATGTTCACTTAAAACACATCTGCTAGTTACATTTATATATATTGACATTTGTGTGAGTAAAGAAAGTATGAATGTCAAATTGCGTTTTAATGGCTGTCAGTATAGAATAACACAAAGGAGCTCCGCGTGTGCCTTATCGGGTGAATAGGAGATTGAATAACATAAATCAGTGATAGGCGGACAACATTACTAACCTTAAACAATACCTTTACCTTTTAAGGATATATAACACTTACGAACACTATCTTCACTTGGAGATAAGAGGAGCCTGTTTTTTACACGTTTCGAGGATAAACAATATAAATGTAAGAGCAGGGGAACAATACATCACCGATAATCACCTGAGTTCGAAGGAGAATACGAACGAAAACAAAACTTTGATATATTGTAAAGGATATTCTAAAAGTCACATTCCGTGATTAAAATTGAACAAAAAGTTTGTAAAATAGCAATAAAAACACAAAACGTACTCGTATTTCCGCCTATTACGGAAACACCCGACAGTTAATGAGCAGAGGGGGTATCACGTGACATGACGTCATAAGTGCCTGTTGCTGATGGCTTCCTCTTTGATTTTACCTCACAACTTAACAGTGTCCGTGGATTCTGAAGCAGTAAAAGATGTTCCTGATGTCATTTCTGAAATGGATGTTAGACCGTATCAATACGATCCGATTTTACATCTTGCAAGACAATCTTCCACTGAAGATGAAGAAGAAGAATCAAGCGAAACGGAGGCACCGCTTGAGGTCAAAATAAATTTTAAAATAGACCATATCATTTAACAAGATTACTATTTGTCAGCAAAATGTCATACAGTTCCAGCCAGCAAACTCACCCCTATAAATATATGACCAGTCACTAAGAATTATTTTAAAAAAAATGTGATTACAGTTCATTTTGTGTCAAATGGGTGACTGTAGAGTGTCTGGGATTTAAAAACAAAATAATTATGCTTCAGACGAGGGAAAATAAAAATTATCTGCTTCAAAAATTACACTGGAATTATTTTGTTGAAAAAAATTAGGATCCTAGTTCTCATTAATAACGTATCAAGTCTCGATACAAGATCCCAGCCTGGTAGAGCAGAGATAATATTCGCCACGCAGATAAGTTATTCCCCGAAAACTGGTGAATTATAAAATACTAGTCAGGACAACGTAATATGTTTCCCCATTGTTTGGTTATGGAAACAGTTATGGTACTCGGTCACAGCCTAAGAATGACATCCTGTCAGCCAATGAGAATACAGAACAACTTTCACGGCACACACTACGGACAAATAGCGAATCTGATGCCGACGTGCGCAATTGGACAAAATGGAAAACAATGAAAGCAACAAGTACTTCATGATTTGCCGTTGTATTCGGCAATGTTTCGAGTTGACTGCATCATTTAGGGCTCCAAACCGAAAAGAACGTTATAGCGAAAGATTTTCAAGCTCATGTGAAATCTCTTACTGATTTTGATAATATATATCTCATGTGTACCAGTCGAACTGCCCCAGCTACAAAATGCCCCTGCAAATTTGGTCATTCATTATAATTTGTTCAAATTTATTTATAATGATTGAATATATGCCGTAAATGCATAGTTTTTGTCAACTTATTATGATATTATGTTCTTCATATAAAAGTTATTAGGAAGTAATATTTCTGATAAATGTTTCATCAGTAAACTCATAACTATCTATATACTTATATACGAAGAACATAATATCAAAGTTGACATAACTATGCATTTATGGCCTATATTTATTCATTTTAAATAAATTGGGGCATTTTGACTACCACACTGGGGCAATTTGACCAAATTTGCTGGGTCATTTTGTAGCGGGGGCAATTCGAGTGGCAATCGGACTTGATTTAATTTATGTTAAGTTGTTACAGGGAATGATGGAGTATAATTAATGGATGTCGTGGGTACTTTTTCGTTCTTCAGCCTAGCTTGGGGATTTCCATACCCCATGCGTGCATGTCTCTTTCATATGCTTCCGATTCGGAATGATCGGCGCATTTCTCCTGCCGAAATCTGTCATTTCACTTGGAAAGAGGAAGAAATGGAGGTTCTTTCCCATGTTCGATGATGCCGTGCATGCCCAGGCAGCGCAATGCACCATCGTACCATTTAAAAAAACGATAGAAACAACACGATTTGAACTACTGTAGCGCTTGGTCTTTGGCAATATGGCGGACTCCAGGCACATTTGACGTCACGAGCGGAAAGGTCACGTGGGTTCCAGCGAAATATGCATAATGGGCGAAGCTGAGATTTACAGAAACTGTTTTCGCGATTAAAACATAATTATACATAATTTTTAATTGAAAATTAGGGAATATGTATCTGATGACTTTATCTTTCACCCATCAAATTATTGCAATCCACTCGTATTCTCCTTTAATCAAAAGCTGTGATAAAAATCAAAGGCTTGCGTTAGAGCTAGAACATTTCGAGTCGTAAATGGAACTGTCAGAAAGTTGAAGTCAGTCTTGTGGAGAGTGTTTTGTTTCTCTGGATCTTTCTGAGCACAGATCTAAATGTGAAACAAATGAGACGTTCTTACTTCTGTATTTCTAGTTTAGGTGGGTAAATCAATGGAAGGAAATTGACAATTAGGTAGTTACTAAACGATAACAGATCATCCTGGTACCTCTTCTTAGCCAATCTCCCTTGTTTTGACTTTGTCAATCCGAGTAGAAAAAAAGAAAAACATGGGCATGAAAGTAAATAACGATTGGTACCCATGGAGTGATGATGTTTGTCGCTAGGATAGTGTGAGCATCAGTCTCTTTTGTAAACCCACAGACAGTAATAACTTTGGAAAACATTAAAAAAATCATAACTTCGACGACTGTTTTTACGACAGATTTTAATCTTTTCGGGTGTAACTGATGAGACCAGTGTTTCCGACGGAAGACCTAAGGTCTCTACTGTCTATTATTTCCATATGCCAAGGTCAAATGAAGAGGTTGTATGCACAATACACCTACAATGACTGCTGTTAATTTCTTTATGATCCAAACAGATTAATGCCAGTCAGGTAAATAAACACAACTTAATTACAAAACAACAATCAGTTATAGCCATGGCTGTGTTAAAGAGGAGAAACATAAAATATGCCCGAAGATGCGGTTTAATGGATTTAAACGTTACGTTAAAGGTCACATAAAACCTAGGGGGTACAAATACATAAATCACTAACTGGCATCGTTATAAATGAAACCCCGTCATTAAAACTACTCATTTCGACCTTTTATTGACTTAAATCGACCTTTTTGACAACAGTGCACAATTCTCACCCGCGAACGAAATTTCAACCAATCAGAGCGGCGCGCCTCTGTGACGTCATATGAGGAATACCTTTGAGTGCCGATGCAGAATTCATCTACATTTTAGGGGGTAAATTATCGTGTTTACAGGCTTGTATAAACCTGAAATCCTGACAATTGTTGTGGAAAATGAAAGCTATATGTTCTCACAATCTACTGTCATTTAATTTTGTCTCCTGCTTTGCCTAGTTTCCGAGTTACAACTTGTTTTCATAGACGATTCTGTCAAAATCGATTGGTGTCGTTAG